TCACCAGTGCCAACCCTATTCTTGGCTGCAGGTTGACACAATATGCAACAAAGATAATATTAAATACAGGTAGAGTTGAAGCTTTCTAAGTCCACTTTCAGGAATCATCTCAAATTCCTCTCTCTCTCTCCACAAATTTCTTAATTTCTTATTCAGTGCTTTAAAAACACTTTACTTGTACCTCTATTAGAACTAAGCCAAGTGGATTTCTGACACAATTCTCCTTCAACAATTTTGTCTGTGGCCAAACCTTGTTGAGACCACATGATCCAATATTTGACCGGAAAAATGCAGTTGCTCTAAATATAGAGATTATTGTATGGTTCCTTTATTATAGTTATTTGGGTACATACCTCTCTCCCCCATAGACTATGTATTCCCTCAAGGGAAGGAGGATTGTTATTCTTCTTTCTGTCTCCTGTTTTGCCCTTCATGAGTAAGTGACTCCAGCCCCTGTCTCAGTTCTCTTGCCACCCATATGCTGATGATGCTCACGGTGACTCCTGCTTCTCTTAGGAATTTCAGGTTAGATATCCAACTCCCTGATGAACAAGTTCTCTTTTTTTTTTTTTTAATTTTACTTCAAGTTCTGGGATACATGTGCAGAATGTGCAGGTTTGTTACATAGGTATACATATGTCATGATGGTTTACTGCACCCATCAACCCGTCATCTAGGTTTTAAGCCCCGTGTGCATTAGATATTTGTCCTAATACTCTCCCTCCCTTTGCCCCCCACTCCCCAGCAGGCCCCAGTGTGTGATGTTCCCCTCCCTGTGTCCATGTGTTCTCATTGTTCTTCTCCCACCTATGAGTAAGAACATGCGGTGTTTGGTTTTCTGTTCCCGTGTTAGTTTGCTGAGAATGATGGTTTCCAGTTTCATCAATGTCCCTGCGAAGGACATGAACTCATTGTTTTTATGGCTGCATAGTATTCCGCGGTGTATATGTGCCACATTTTCTGTATCCAGTCTATCACTACAAAGAACTTAAACAAATTTACAAGAAAAAAACGAACAACCCCATCAAAAAGTGGGCACAGGATATGAACAAGTCCTGTTTCACACCCTCCAGGTGCTTCATATTCATCCAACCAAAGCTGAACCCATAACCTTTCCCCACATCCTCAACATTCTGCTCTTTCTCATATTCCCTATCTCAGTTGCCTCATTCAGCCAAGCTGCAGCCTGATTCATCCCTGCCTTCTCCTTTATCTCATCTCCCTTAGCCAGCCCATCATTAAAGCCAATTTCTTCTTTTACCTCCTAAACAGTCCTCAGACCCATCCCCTTCTTCCCGCCTACCCTGCCTTTTCCTAGCTGAGGAGCTCACTCTCTCTTTCCTGAACTGTTGAATAAGACTCCTGACTCCCTGCTTCCACTGTTGACCCTTTTGAGACATCTTCTTTTTTTTCTTTTCTAAGTATTATTTAATTAAGAAATATAAAACACATTAAGCACTAAGAATGATCATTTATCTTAATGTTCTAGAGTCCACGTGCAGGATGTGCAGGTCTGTTGCCTAAGTAAATGTGTGCCATGGCAGTTTGCTGCACCTATCAACCCATCACCAAGGTATTAAGCCCAGCATGCATTAGCTCTTTCCCCCAATGCTCTCTCCCCATCTGCCCTCCCCTGAGCCATCTTCTATTCTGCAGTTAGATGACATCTAAGCCTGTCCCTCTCAACGTAAAACATTCTATGGCTCCCCAATACAATAGAATAAAGGTCCACACTTTGCCCAGCACCTCAGGTCCTGCATGAACTGAACTCTACCCTTCTTATTTCCTCGTTGGCCTTTCCCTGACTTACACTTTATTCTCCAGCTGTGCTAAAGCACTGGTAGTTGCCAATATGTAGCCTGTTGTTCAGCATTTCTGCACCGTTGCTAATGTTCTTTCCTCCGTCTGGAGTTTCTGTCTATCTTTTTGACATAGGTACCCCTTATCCACCTTTGAACACTCAGCTCAGCCTCCAACACCTCTTGAAGCCTTCCCAGAAGCTCCAGGCTGGCCTGAGTGCTGCTTCTCTGTACCCCTGAGGAATCCTCTTCATACCTCCCCCTTGGCCATGACTCTATTACATGGAGAGCCACATATAAATCTGGCTTCCCAACAAAAATTGCAAATTCTTAATGGCAGAAACTGTCAATTTTCATTTGCCTCCAAAGCAGCTAGGATGGTGCTGGAAAAATAGTAGATGTTCAACAAATACTTGTCAAAAAGCACACTAATTACCTCCCACTACACCTAGCACAAAGCCATGTTGCAAGAGATGCCCAATGGATATCTTTGGAATAAAATATCCATTGTTCTGTTTCCTGAGCCAGAAGGTAGGGAGGAATACAGCAGACCTGTCATCAGAATCCCAGTCAAGGAATTCTGATGACAGGAGCACAGGGCCCTGTTCCTTCCGCCAAGCACTTTCTCCAAATGCAGCATGAAACAAAGGTAGTTAAAGCAAGAACACTTTTTCTTGTGATCTCTCCCAAACCAATGATTTTACCACCCTCCTGGCCCCTTCTCTTTTTCCTGGCCCCCTGAGGTTGGAACCTGCCATCCATCTGTATTTTCAGACTTCAACATTTTGCTTGCCTCCTCTCTATTCTGTCATAGTGCCTGCAGTTCCCTTTTTCTCACACTCTAAATTTATATTCCCTAAACAATCCATTTTGAAGTATCTGTGAAACTCTTTCTCATCATGTCTTTGTTAGAGTGGCTACTCCCTATTTTGGCTATATCATCCTAGAACCCAAGATTTCATACACACAGGTTCACCTGTCTGTCTCTCTTGCTGAGACTGTAAGCTCCTTGAGGCCAGGGTCTATGGCCCATGTATCTTTGCGTCAGGAAGCCTAGCCCAGTGTCTAGTGTACGACCTGGTTTATATAGCTGACTAGCTGAATATTTTCATATAAAGAAAGAGAGTAGGGTCCTGAGAGAGTAGGGAGGATACACTTTGATGGTGGACAACAGGAGTGATTGAGAACCGAATGGATGAGTCAAGCCTCCTGTAGTTTGACATGATGACCCTCAGCAACACCGTCAGAGTATTGAGGTTGGATGGAGGGGATGTGAAGAAAGAATGGAGAAATCATTCCCAACAGACTCTGAGAAGTTTTCAGTGGTGTTTCCTATGCCTCAGGCTCTGCATCAGGAATCTTCCTGGGAGTTCTGGAAAATCCTGTAATAGCAGAACTTAGAGGACTCACATGTGCAGATATTCTATTTAAGTTTGGGTCTGTCAGTTTGGTCTCCTTGTTATACTCAAAATCCCACATGGGCTAGGACCACAGTTTTCATTTGCCTTTAATTCTGGCAGCCCCTCCTGAATGCTTTCTTACTTACAGCAGGTGGCTAGAGAATGTTTGGTGGCTGGCAGATTACATTTTTGACATTGAAAAAGTCTTTAAACATAGGAGTGGCTTCAAATGAGTTTTGACTAATTCTTGGGCAAACAGTCCCAGTCAGATTATATTTGTTTAATTTTTGATTCACATTTCACCACCCCCAGGGATGTCATAGCCTCTTACTGATTGTGCTTCTGAAAGTCAGGAACGCATCCATATAGAAAAGATTGCTGAGTGAACAATGGTGAGCACCACGGTATCAAAGACATCCCGGTGGCACTCCCCAATGGGGGTCTTGTTTTTCATCTTTGATTTATTGTTCAGTTTAAAGCCAACTCCTTTCATACTCATAACTATCACATCCTCATTCTGAAGTTGCTCAGGGTCATGCTAACTAATACAATAGAACTTCAGTCTTCTTATCTAAAACAAATACCCTAAATGAACCAAGGAAGCTGAAATAAGAAAGTCCAGACATGCCCAGAGGAGTTTATAAGCCCAAGAGTGAAAAGCAGAGGAATCTATAAGAGATACAAAATGCAAAGATATATTTCTGATACATGTAAAATGATAGCCAACATCTTTCAAATATTTGTTAGGTGCCAGACGCTTTTTAGACATTATCTCATCCAACTATATGTATTCCTACAAGATAAACATTATTAATCCCACTTTACAAATAAGAAAATTGGACTCTCAAAGAAGCCAAGTATGTTGGCCAAGATTTCTCAGCTGGAAAGTAAAGAAGCCAAGGAACAAACTTCCATCTTTCTGGGTTTAATTCAGTGCTTATTCGGCTGTACCAACCATTTCTCATACACATAGGAAAGCAAGCAACCCGCAAAGAGTACAGTATCTGCCAGGGTGCAGTCAGAAACCAAAACTTCACTAGTGATTTTAACAAAGAGAATTTATTACAGGAAATTGGTTAAACAGGTGTAGGGGTACATGAGAGGCAAATGGGGAACCCTGAGTAACAAAAGCTTGTTAGGAAGTAGCGAGCACCTCTAGGACTGGATATAAGAAGTAGCTACCCTCTCTAAGGGGCAGGGAAGCTTAGGAAGCAGTCTAGGGTCATCAGCTCCCAGCAGCTTGAAGGAGGAGCCCCTTGGAAGCCGGGACTCAGACTCCTGCGGAGGGGGCACTGTCTGGTTCGTGCTGGTACCTCAAAGCAGCTGTGATGGGACTGGTTCCAGGAGTACTGCAAGAAGCTAGAAATCACAACGCACTGGAACAAAAACTGCTTCCAGGGTGAAAGGTCAATGCTGGGGTGCTGCTGATAGCACAGGCAGACAAACAGAAGGGGCAAGTCTCTCCTCCTATCCTGTGCCAACCAGCTTCCCCCAAGGGTCCCTGATTGGCAAAGAAGATGTGTAGTCAGCAGAGTCCCAGCCCAGCAGAGTAGAATATAGGAAGGTGGATCTGGAACTGAGACAGAACCCCTTCCCAGCCAGCACACAGGGGTGATGTGTGCACACGAGGGCACGAGGATTAAAGTAAGGGAGACAGTTGTCAGTATAATGACATCAGCCACCGTTACTGATCCTTTCCACACGCTGACTCCTTTACTCCTCACACCTATGAGGCAGATGCCATTATCTTAGCACTTTTACAATGCCAAAGCTAATATTTAGAGATGCTAAATAACTTGCAAAAGGCTAGGAAAAGGAGGAGTCAAGATTCACAGCCAGGTCTGTCTGGGTGCTAAGATCCTGCTACAACCGCCTGTATTTGTTTGCTAGGGCTGCCGCAGCAAACTACAACAAACTGAGTGGCTTACAAACAGGGAAACTTTTTTATATCACAGTTCTAGAGGCCAGAAGTCCAAAATCAAAGTGCTGGCAGCACCAGGCTCCCTCTGAAATCGCTTAGCAGAGAATTTTTCTTTGCCTCTCCCAGTGTCTGGTGGCTCCAGGCATTTCTTGACTCGTAGCTGTGTAACTTCAGTCTCTGCCACCTTCTTCACAAGGCCTTCTCCTCTGTGTCTCTGTGTGTTCTCTTTTGTGGCTATGGAACACTTATCATTGGATTTAGGACCCACCTGGGTTATCCAGGATGATCTGGTCTACAGATTCTTAACTTTAAGTTAGAAAAAAGGGGGTGGGGTAAGCACAGGCACAGAAATAATTAATTAATTAATTAATTAATTAAAAGAAAAAACAAAGACACGTTTTCCAAATAAAGTTGCATTCACAGGTCTGGGGGTAGAATAGGGACATGTGTTTGGCAGCCACAATTCAACCACTGCACCATCATATCATGTAAAACAACTAATGGGCTTTTGAAAATCATTTTCAGCAAAGCCACTTAAAATTAAATCTGTATTCTTATAACATTTTCAGATTCTAAAACAATGTTTTGTGCCATATGTAGAACTTTTAATATTTGATGTTCCTGTCCCTTCAAGCTTTAAGCAGTGACACCTTCTGCAGCTCCTGTCTTCTAAACAGCCATCCTGCATGTCTTCACCTCATCAACTCATGATCTCATTTCAAATCGCATCTGGAAATATCCTCCCTCCACTCTGGTCCCTCCTTGGCTGCTTTCTTTGGCTTGACTTTCATCAGCACTTGTGTCACGCAGTCCAAGGATTCAGTGGGCACGCCTGGTCCAACAAGTATTATTTAAGATGAGAGTTTCCTTATCCATCGAGTGGAAGGCTCCCAAAGCCTCTAACGTGTGTCCCAAAAGAGTCCACCCTCCTCCCCCAAGTCTCCACTCCACACTCCAGCCTTAGGAAGGAAACTTTCAAATGATGGCTTCTCTCTTTGGTTGAAAGAACGGAATGATCCATTTTGCAACTCACCTGGTTGAGGATGTAGTTTGGAAATTTACCTACTTTGAAGACACGTGTCTGTGTGTCTGTGTGTGAAGGGTAAAAAGATTTCTCAAAGCAAGCAGACATTAGAGAGAAATGTACATAGTGCTCTTTTGCAAAATAAAATATGTGAGCTGAGGGCCTCTAATGCATTAGGGTTAATGACATATATTTCATATGCCTGATCTGAAAGAATTGAAAAGGTGTCTTTTCTCTCCCATGTAAATATGTCAGAGCCATCGTTATTAGTGTCTGACATATTTGCTAGTGCAGATTTCCAGCATCCCAAGTTCTATATCCCTTAGATTTAATTCTGAAGTTCTTAGATTTGGCATCCTGTAAAGAAAGGAGATGAATATTAGAAAGTGAAATTTTAAAACCCATCCAAGGTTTCCTCTAAGTGTCTCAATATTGAAATCATCAATATCTGTTTGAAGTTTAATTTTAAGAAACTATTTCCTGCCTCCACAGACCTACATATTGATGTTACTGCATTGTTCTTCCCTCTTTTCCTACAAAATTCTCGGAAACATGTTTTTCTTCAGGCAAGGTATGTATTTGGCAGTCATCAAGAAATTTCCTCGGCCTTTCATTTCTTTTTATCAAGCTCTTCCTCATAAAATGTGGGTTCACATTTTACTTTTTTTTTTTTCAGGGAGTAGATGAAAACACCGAATAGATTATTTCAGACGTACTTTCTCTCCCCTTCCCTATGACCAGGAAAAGACAAAACGCTGCCTCTTCTTTCATTTTTCTTCTTGGTATATTGATGGAGCTGTCATTATGCCCTCAACACCTCATCTGAAGTAATATGGGACAATAAGAGGTATTATTGTATGCCAGCTATTATTCTACCCAGGGGCGTTACTCTGTAACAGTGCATATTTGAGGTTTGAACAGGGAAAGATAAAGGTGTGCAAGGGACTCGCAAAGAGGAGAGCTTTCCTGGGATGGCGAATCCTAGCCAACAGGTAACCATGGCTCCAAAGGTGCCCCGCTTCCATACTCAAAGACAGGGCACCTCCCGTGCTCCACCAATATATTTCCCTGAGATGTTCATTCATAATGGAAGCTGCGAACTCCATAGTTTATTGAAAGTAGGACAGGATATTTTTCTAGTTCAGTTTTCTAGATTAGCTCTCTGGCTCTCATCTTCTCCCTGGAGGAAGCGAATTCTCATGCAGAATCACAACTCTCTACAAGCAAGTTTACATTCAGCCTCACTTCTTTCAGGGGCAGCCGCTTCCCAAGACTTCACAGTCATCATGTAGTTCATCCAAGAGGTGAGTTTCCAGGGGGAAGGTGGAATTCCCAGTTCTGTTTTTGTTAACTGCCTGGGTTTTTCTGCTCACAACCTAGCAACCTCTTTTACAGCAAGTCTCCTGTCTACAGCTCCAGCCACACCAATCTGACCCTGCTATGGCTAAGGACAAGGTGTGTGCATGGGTAATTTGGGAATTCTGTGACTTGCTGGTGCAAGGAAGCAGAAAAATGGGAAAGAGAAAGAAAGAGATTAACTATTCTCTGTTTCTCAACCAGACCAAGGTTTGCTCCTTATGTTTTCACCACCCGAAATGCCTTCGTCTTCTCCACCTGGGGAAGTCTTATCACCCTTCAGGGATGACCAACAAATGTCTGTTGAGAGACTTAATGAGAGTAAGAGGAGTAAGTCTCCAGTTTTTAGAGAACCTTGGATGTTCATGAAAAAAGACAGGAGGATGTGGGTGGATAATTGCTGGCAGGAAAGGACATGGTGTTGCGGCAGAAGGTTTCATGTAAGCATTTGTTACACGTGAGAGATTCTGAGTTTTTCTGTGGGCATCTCTGAGGAGATACACAGAGAAAAGAAGACCAAGGCAGAGACTAAAGTGATGCGTCTACATGCCAAGGAACACCAAGGATTCCCAGCAGCCTCCAGAAGCCGGGGGAGGCCTGGAACAGAGTGTCCCTCAGAGCCTTCAGAAGAAATCAACCTCCACACCCCAATTTCAGACTTCTGGCCTCCGAAACTAGGACAGAGTCAGTTTCTGTCGTTTTAAGCCACTAAGTTTGTAGAAATCTGTTACAGTAGCCCTAGCAAACTCATACAGATTTTTGCCTAGATGGTGAAGAAGTGTCTGGTTTAATGAGTCCCAAAGGATGTGGGGTCACTCATATGAGCCCTAACTGATTTAATAAAAAATTTTGACACATATGTATTGAAGACCTATTATGGACTAGTCTTCTCTAAAAGCAGTATTCTCTTGCTGCTTTTAGTCAAATGAAAGCTATAGACCAATAACCATGCTAGTAGATCACTAATTCCAATGGAGATGAGTGCTCTGAAGGAAAGGAACGGGTTCTTAGAGAGTATACAGTGAAGAAGGCCAACACTGAGTGAGGAGTCAGCAGGATTTCTCCGAGGAAGTCACTGCAAATGATCAGGCTTCAGGGAGGCCCGGCCTGTAGCCCTTTTCTTTTTGCTAGGCATTGCATGTGACAGGGGTGCTTTTCCGGTCAAGGTCAAGGCACTTTTATGTGCTTTGAATATTATTATGTCAGCTTCCTGCTACCATGGTGATTTACTAAACAAAGTCTGGGATTTACTAGTCTGAGTAACAGGCGATGGAAGCAGGTTCACTCTTTCAACCAGTAGATCCAGTCTTCTGCATCTGCCTCTTCCCTCAACGGTCAGTATTTTCCTGGGATATTCAGAGATGTGATGGGGGAGGGGGAGTGGAGTTCCACATTCAGGAAAATTTTAGAAAAACTATCTGTCTTAGTGCTTGTGTGTTGCTCTAAAGGAATACCTCAGCCTGGGTGGTTTATAAAGGAAAGAGGTATATTTGGCTCACAGTTCTTCAGGCTGTACAAGAAGCATAGTGTCAGCATCTGCTTTTGGTGAGGGCTGCAGGAAGCTTCCACTCATGACAGAAGGCAAGGGGAGCTGCCATGCAGAGATCACATACGGGAAAGAGAGGCGGCGGGGAAGGAGGTGCCAGACTGTTTAACAAATAGAGCTCATGGGAACTCTAAGAGCAAGGACATATTCAGTCCCACAAGGTGGGTACCAAGCCATTCATGAAGGATCCACCCCCATGACCCAAAAAGGCCCACCTCCAATGCCGCAGACCAAATTTCAACATGAGATCGGGAGGAGACAAACATCAAAAGATACCAGTATCTTAAACGAAAAGAGATGGGTTTCTTTTCTACAGGGCCTCCTGTCGTTTCTAATATGCTGATTTACACCGTGGGTCTCCACATGGGTGATGCCACCCACAACTTTCCCCAGATCTTTGGACCTGGAATCTGTTTATCAAAGATCAGTTCACAGAACTGGCATCTTGTGAAACACATTTTGAGGAACTCGGTATCAGAGCCACTGTGGAGTTGTACACACGATTGACTTAATTTTTTTCTTTTTCTCTTTCATCCAGGCTGCCTTCCGGCAACCCCGAGAACAGAGTTGGACAGTCCATCTCTGGGAGACCCTGTCCCAGAACATCTAGACTCCCAGGTTGGTCCTCTTTGGAACATGAGAGGATGTGGTTACATTTGCAATTGAAAGACATCATCTAGGGGGTAAATGTGAAAGGAAAGGTCCAGGAAGGACCAGGGCAGAGGGCTCCCCTGTAATTCTCTGATGTTCATTCCTTTGAACACCCTTAGCCATGTAGACACACTTGCAAGGAGAGAGTTTGCAAAGCCATTAATAGAAACAAAAGTAGTAAGTAAGATCTGATGTGACTCAACATGCTGTTCACATAAGAGAAACTAATCTCCAGGCAGAATGGCCTGTAACTGATGCCTGGGTTCTGTTATTGAAAGCCTCTTGGCATTGCTTTGTTGCATTCTGGAATATACAATTACAAGCACTGAAGTTAAAGAGGCAAAAAACATTAACCAATTCCATAACTATAACAATAGATACAAAATATTATACACCCTAGATTCATGTCAGTTCTCAAAACAGTCTTAACTGTCCTCATTTCTGTACACACTTCACCAATGACTCACTTTTACACTCTGACAAGTCACATGACTTCCTTGCACTGTATTTTCTGCATTTACAGATGGGATAAAAAACAACTTTAATGCTGTTGTATGTTCAAGGAACCTAACCACAAAGTACTGTGAATTCCTTGTATAAATGGTACTGTGCAGAAACAAGCCAGTTTAAAACCAAAACGAAACCAAAAGAAGCATTAGCCAAGTCAGGAGTCCCCCCAAAATTCAGAGATTACTGCAACTTATTGCATTAAAGTCTGGGCAACGTGTCTTCAGAGAGAACATGCTACTTGTTTAGGGGTAGTTTGGCATAGGCAGGAAGGTATGGATTTAAGGTTTAAATCTTGGATCTGCAAGTGATGGTTGCACAAATATATGTGAATTTGGGCAACTCACACTTATGAAGTGGAGATAAAGACAGCTACCTTGCAGGGTATTTGTAAGAAATACAGAGAAACGTGAAGAATACTTAGAACACAGCAGATGCCCAAGAAATATATCCTTTGTATTTTCTGCATCCTATTTTCAGGTTAATCCTGCTCCACTCCCCTGCCCCATTAACTCAAGACTTCATATTGATGGAGAAGTCAGCAGAACAGCCAAGATCATCAGCAGCTGCCCATTAGCCTTTACCCTCTGCATGGTTCATTCATTCATTCATTCATTCATTCATTCATTTAACAAGTATTTCTCAAGCTTCTCCCAAACACCAGGCACTAGAGCTGATCCCCTGCAGCTTTTCAGCATTACCAGTATCCACTGCTAACCAGATCTGCTTGACCCCTCGAGTTCGCCTTTCTTCACTGATTCCAGTGAAGAAACCCTGAACCTCCCCCAGTCTATCTTGGACAGTTGTGCAAACTGAGCATTACCGAACTCATGGAGCAGCATCCACGTCACGGTGCTTCCTTCTTGCTCGTCCTCTCTGCCTACATACACCTAGGGAATCTTTCTGAGGTTATGCTAAGCAAAGTGAATACAGTAAAATCCAAGAATTAGATTGAAGACCGAGTGAGGGGAGTAAAGGCTTCCTCCCCTCATTGAGGACAGCATCTGGCTAGGAAGTCATGGGCCTCGTTAACATTATTAATCACTATAATGCCAACACGTTTGTATTTTTATTTGATTTTCAAGGGGATCTTGTAGAAAAAGGTTATCTCCTTTTTACCAATGAAGAAGCAAGATCCAGAGGAATTAAACCATTTGACTGTGGTCACAAAGCCAGTGGGTGTCTGCACTAAGACCAAAATTCAGTTCTCCTGACCCCCAGGCCTGTTTCCTCACAGGTTGGTGGCCCAGCCGTGCTGTCCAATAGAATTATCTGTGTGATGGAATGTTCTAGATCTGTGCCAGCTAATGCAGTAGCCACGCAGCTCAATGTGCCTGCTGAGTACTTGAAATGTGGTTAGTGTAACTGAGGACTAACATTTTTTTTAAGTTTTATGTAATTTTAATGAATTTAAATTTAAATAGCCGCATGTGACTAGTGGCTACTATACTGGGCAATGCAGATAGGACCTTAATGCTAAACCTAAGCTGCACAGAGAGGGCTTCTGGACCAGTCACTCCTACCTTTCTGTAGTTACCTTCCCCCAGAGCCAGCCCTTCTCCATCCCAAGCCCCAGGCCCACATGCAGCCATTTGTAAATAATCACTGAGTGTCCCCAGAAAACTTGAAGAAGGAGCTAACTCTAGATAGGGTCAGAGCCCATAGGCTGCCCATAGGGTCTGTTGAGGGCTAGGACCAAAAAGGCCAGCCCACCCAGAGATGACTCCCACCTCCTATGGGGCCTCAATTTTCCCTATCTGCCCCAGTACCTCCAGGTCATGGCTTGGAAGGCAACGGCAAATTTGTCACCATGAAGCCATTATCAAGCTCAGAACTTAATTATCTGATCAGCCACCTCCCTGGGTCCTAAGGGAGCAGACCCTAGGAATGAGAGACAGTCTTTGAGAGAGAAAGAGAAAGAAACATGGCATTGACTGAAACAGAAGCACAGATGAGAGGCCCCCAGTGGAGGCCAGTCCAAGGTCTTATTTTATTTCCCACTAACTGTGGGGAAAAAAAAAAATGTTTCAATTCACTGGATATCCAAAATTTAAACACAGTGAAAATCTCCTATAAACTCATTTCCCCACTCCCGGAGCCTTGGGCTATCTAGTAACGTCCAGTTCCATTAGCATCCACAGTATTCGTCTCGCAGTGCAGTAGGAGCTGCTCCATTGAGATGGTGAGGAGCTATTTCCGCACAGCCCCCACCACTGGTCCCCTGTAACATCCTTCTTTACTCACTCATCTGACCTGACTGGCATCTGCAGGCATTTGGAGCTGTCATCCTAGCACAGGGGGACAGACTTGGGCAAGGTGTCTGTGTGAGGGGCTGGGATAACAGCACAGAACTACCTGTGTGTCTGGAGGCCCAGGACGTGCTGTGGGGGAGATGGTAGAGAAAGGGGGTGCTGAAATGGAGTGAGGAATAGAGGGAGAGAGTTGTAACACACTAAAATGTGACGGGACCACCTCCATACTCCACCTCCTACCTGACTTGCATTGATAACTACCAGATGTTTCTTGGAACATCTTGATCTCCAGCCCCCAAACCCTTTTCTTCTACTTTCTTCCAGTACTTAGAACAATGCCAACCACATAGAAAGAGCTCAAGAAATGTGAATTGTTCACAATAAAATGTACTCAATTCAGAATGCCTCCATCAGACTCCCCCGGCTATTGCTTCAACTTGTCACTCTCCCCGCTGAACGCTTCTGTATTCTCCCTCCTTCTTAAGCTCACACTGAATCTCTGCTGTCATGTCCCAGTGAGATAGGTTTTTTAATTCCAGGCCTCCACCCAAGTGGCTGGCTGACCCAGCCAAATGCTGGCACAACGTGGGATGCAATTCGCTCGCTGTCTCTCAGCATGGTCCTGGAAGCTGAGTCAAAATTATCCAAACCATAGCCTGGCATATGGCTTTAACACTTTTTCTTTCCTTCCTTTTGTCATTCAGTCTGTTCACTTGAGATATTCTCCATGCCAGTGAGGCAGAGAGCAGGGAATTGGGGAAGGTCCCTAGGCCATAAGGTCCTCGAAAAGAAGAACTGCATTTTCTTCTTTTGCAGTCCTAGCATCTAGCAGGGTCCGTGGCACAGAGGACGGGTTCTCATGTAGACACAAGTGTGGCTAGAAGAAACAATTTGATTAACAGAGGCAAGCAGGAGAGAAAGGACCACTAGACTAAGGATGAGTTCAGGACACAGGTTCAAAGCACAGCTGTGTATTTTCCTACCTGTGTTAGCTAATTCACTAATCTGAGCTTCTCTTTTCTGATCTATGAAAAATAATTAATAATATAAATGCTGTTATTGACTGCTACAATCTTTAGGCAGTCAGACGACACTTGGCTGCAAAAAAGCATAAAAATTTTAGGAACAATGACTCATGATCTCAATCCTAGAAACTCATTTTAAGGAAGTAATTCAGCAGAAACAAACCCATTCTGTACATGAAGAAGTTTATTCGAACTCTATTCAATAGCAAAATACCTAACATTACCTAACTATCCACAATAAGGAAATAATTAGTCACAAATAATATTTAAACATGACGGGATATTTTTCAACAATAAAAAATGAATGTTTCTGAAGACTAAACACAGAATCTCCTATCACCCTCAGTGCTGCTAGAGCGTTCCTTTAAGAACCAAATCTGTTCCTGTTGCTACCCTTATCAAAGTTATTCAATGGTTAAAAATTTAGTAGGTAGGGCATGGTGGCTCATGCCTATAGTCCTAGCATTTTAGGAGGTTAAGGTGGGAGGTTTGCTTGAGGCCAAAAGTTCAAGACCAGCCTGGGCAACATAGCAAGACTCTGTCTCTGTAAAAAATAAGATCAATTAAATTAGCCAGGTATGGTTGTGCTCACCTGCAGTCCTAGTTATTTAGGAGGCTGAGGTGGGAGGATTGCTTGAGCCCAGGAGTTTGAGGCTGCAGTGAGCTACGATTGTGCCACTGCACTCCAGCCTAGGTGTTAGAGCAATATTATGTCTCAAAAAAAAAAAAAAAAAAAAAACTTACAAGTGAGATTGCTGGGTCATATGGTAAGTATATGAATATATATAGGAAACTGCCAAACTGTTTTCCAAAGTGGGTGTACTATTTTGTTTTCCCAGTAGCAGTATATGAGAGCCCAAGTTCCTCCCTGCCCTTACCAGCATTTGTTATGGTCAGTCTTTGTAATTTTAGCCATGCTAATAGGTATGTACTAGTCTCCTATTGTAGTTTCAATTTGCATTTCTTGATGACTAATGATATTGGACTAACTGTTCATGTGCTTATTGGATATTTGTATAGTTATTTACTCAAGAGAAATAAAAACTCATGGCAAAAGGATTTCACATCCACATACCAAAATAATTTGTACATGAATGATCAGAGTAACTTTAGAATAGTCCAAAACTGGAACTTCCAATAGCCATCAACAGATGAATGGAAAAACCAATTGTGATGTACAACAGAATACTACTCAGCAATAAAAAGGAATGAACTTCTGACACATCCAAGAATATGGATGGATTTCCGAAACAGTATACTGAGTAAAAGCAGCCAGATATAAAAGAGAACATACTGTGCGATTCTATTGATATGAAACTCTAGAATGAGCAGAATTAATCTATTGTGATGGAAAGCAGATAAGTGGTTGTCCAGAGTTGGGAGTTAGGCAAAGTGTTACCTAGAAAGGGGCTCAAGAAATTTTGGAGGAGATAGGAATGTTCTATATCTTATTTCGGACAATAGCCACACAGGTAAATGTGTCTATCAAAACTCATCAAGTTGCACACTTAAAACAAGTGCATTTTATTGCCTGTAAAAATAACTCAATGAAGTTAATTTGAAACAAATAGTCAGTTGTTTCTCATTACTTTAGAATAAAGTTTTAAAAAGTTAGTATGATATATAAGTTCTTCAATGATATGATCCTTTCTATCTCTCCGACTTTTTCTTTCTAGGCCTCCACCTTTTTTGCTCCTGTCATACTCTAATGCCTACTCCCTCCCCGTCATCACACTTTCTCATGTCTCTATATCTTTATAAATGCAATTCCCACTTCCTGGAATCTGAACCCTACGCCCTGACTCCTTGTAATTTGACTCACTCCCACTCATCCTTCAAGATCAACTCAAGACTGCCTGGACTTTTTTCCAAGACTAGATCCAGCACCTCTCTTGGGTGTCCACAGACCATCCTGTACAGACCTCTAGTCTGATGTTTTCACACTCTGGTATCAAAGTTAATATTCTTGCTTAGACTCTGAGCATCTTGAAACCAAGGTCTGTCTATGTTCTTAATTCCTAGCACAAAGTTTGGTACATGTTGCTTAGTATGTGTTGAATGGATAGATGAATGACTGAATGAATGAACTAATGCCCTGTCTACTCAGAAGGATATGATGAGAATCAAGTGACATAAGGGTGTGACTCCCTGCACTCTATTATTTGGGTGTTTGATTTGGCTCCATAATATAGTGGTGTGGCCAAGACTATGCCCTCTAAACCTCCACCTCCATCCCCAGGTACAGCCAGTAAAGAGAACTTTGCAAATTCCTATCTTGGAATCACAATGACAAACCCTCCAAGATGGCAGGAGCCTCTGAGCACCTTGAGAGTCAATCAAGAGAAGCTGGTCTCAGCAGACTCACCTCACTGCCAGGAGGTGGCTGCACACTCTCTGTAGGGTATCTCACCTCAAACCACAGCTCTGCAATCCTACAGTATCTTTCACCATCCCATATAGCGTTTGTTAATTGAATTCTGTAATCTAATTGCATTTGCATTTCTAAGCACACTTGTTTTCATAGAATGTACACTCTTTAGCTCCTGAAGATTCTGACAAGTGCCTGTCCAGGCAGATACGAGGTAGCGTTGCCCTCACTCTCAGACACTCCCCTGTCCATTACTTAACCACGTGGAGTTGGAGTAGCCACTTTCCATGATTATGATCCATTTTCTTCACCCTTGTTGGAGCTTTCACGAGAATTAGCAGGAACTCTGCACACCCTCCTCCCTGTCACTACCTCACCACTTCACCAACATGCCCCCAGGCTCCAGTTCCATCCCATCAATGCCACTTCTGGCACATATGCCCAGTGGATCCATCCAGTGACAATCACCTGCATGCCATTTTCCTGAATGAAAGGAATGAAAGCATTTTCTACTCTATCATCATTCCTTGACCTTCACCTGCTTTGGTTTTTAAAGCGTTTTTTCTTCTGCATTAGCTGGAGTTCATTAGAGAGCTGTCCAGCCTCCATTCCTGGAGTTGGTCATTGATGGCCTTTTTTACTGTCTGCCACTGAAGGTTAATCTGGTCAAATGATCTTCAGTGAAGAACATTCAACAAATCAGTGCTCAAAGGCAAGTGGGTGAATCTTTGGAGGAGAGACTGGGGAAGACCAATGAGAGGGGAGAATTAGTGGTTAAATCTACAGTAAGGTTTCAAATTCTTTTTTCAAGTTTAGGGGAAGGATTCCTCTGTTAATTCATTTATTCATTGTTACAGTCTGGGGAGACCTACAGCCTCCCAGAAAACAGCTAAATTAGCCTCTTCTCTAATGTAGGCCCAGGGCTCCAGCTCTATCAGGGATTCCAAAGTCCCTCAACACCACCCCTGGGCTTACCCTGGAGAGTAATGTTTTCCAGGCATTCACATCCACCGAGACCTTAAATATGGTTCTTCTGGGAGAGGGCCAGGAGACGGAATGGCCATTATCAGCAATCTGCTCTCTGCAGAGTCTGAGCCATGTGAACAAACAACCTCACACACTAGTGGGGAGAGAAGGGACTGGAATGTTCACTCCTATTTTCCTAAAATATCCAGTGAACCATGAACCTAAACTCTACACCTGAGGCAAACTGGGAGTTGCTATTTTAACAAAGCACAGCTTAGAAAACAATCCACACATGTTCTGTGACTTGGGCCATCCCCAGAGAGATTCCTGGCAGCATTGCACGGGTGACTAATATTCACAGCCTCTCTGAGGGTGAAGGGTACGCTATTCACCTGTCTGCCACCGTTCACTTCAACATGCTTTGCCATGTGGGATCTGAGAGGAGTCTTTTTCTGGGAGTTTTAAATATCTTTTCAATGGGGCTTTTAAGATACTGTTGTCTGATCTAGGCTCGCTCCACTTAGTCTATTGGCATATCTCTTACATGAGAGGACAAGAGAGTGATGAAAAATGAGACAGGAAATGCACCCATTTATTTCGCAAACATCTGTGGAACTCCTCCCTCTGTGTTGGGCCATTGGGGAATATCAAGATGACTCAGCCACAGTTGAAGGAGGGCAGATAGGAAAACAAATCATTAAAATAATATAGTCAAATGCTGAATAAGGTTTGTACCAAGGGCTGTGGGAACACAAAGAAGGGATCATTAATTTTGTCAGAGGCAGTCAAGGAAGACTTTGTAGAGAGTGACCTCTGAGTTGTACCTTAACAGCTGTGTTGGAAAGTTCAGGTGAGAGAGGAAAGGAACGGTATTCAAGACAGAGGGAACAGCAGCTGCAAAGATGTGGAAGCTTGAAGACCCCTGAGAACTTTGCTGAGTTTGGGTCACAGGTTACACGGGAGCAAATGGGGCAGATATCATGGGTTGGGGTCAGATATGAAGGCATGTGGTCATGTTAAGGGGTCCAGACTTAATTCATTGGGCAAGTGAGAAACAACAGAGGACTTGGAGCATAGGTGTGAAACATCAGATTTTAGAAAGATGTATCAGTAGATAACCACTATATTTCAGGCTTTAGTGATTCCTCACTTGGTCCATGGTACAAGCCTCCATGTCACACTTTGCTTGCTGCCTTGTATATCTGCTGAGCTAAGGCATTTTTTCGTAACCTTATGTTAAAAGGGTCATTATTCTCACTGTACAGTTGGCAAAAGAGAATCTCAGGGAGCTTAAAAACAATACCCTTTGGCAAAGCCAAGATTCACACCGAAGTCTGTTGGATCGCCAAGTCTGTGTTTCATTATACTGAATTAGAAGATAATAGCAACGAGAAAGAAAAAGATGGTGATTTGCAGCTCCAGCTGCACATTAGTTTCTCCTTGGGAGCTTTTTAAAATCATGATGTCTAGGCTGCGCCCTAGACTGATTAAACCAGAATATGTAGCAGTGGAACCCAGACATCGAGATTTGCTTAAAGCTCCTCAGGCGACTTTAGTGTGCAGCCAAGTTTGAGAATCAATAAGAGATGTTGCAAAGGAAGACTTGGTAATAATTGGCTAGCAAATGGGAAGACTGAGAGAGAAGGAGGAAAGAGGTGACTTTAAGATTTTTAACTCAGATGAAGGCAGAAAGGGATGTGAGTGGGGAAATGAGGAGTTCATTCTCATAGTCATTTACTTTGCCATCATAGTGTGACATCCAGGTGGAAATACCCAATAGATGCCTTGGCAAAGTGAGCCAGGGGCTTCAGAGGAGTCAAGGCTATAGTAAGGCCAACACCTCATCCAGTGGTATGCTGGCGGCAGCTCACACCAGCTCCAGGGAGGTAACTATTAAATGTTCTGAAATTTTGTAAGCCAGTTGTTAACACAGCCATTAATAAAAATTAAATCAAAAGAATTAAATGAATTAAATAAATTATATTTTTGAAAGTGTAATAAACTCTCAAAACTCATTACTTCTAATTTTAACACTTTAGTATTGCCTGTACTCTTGAAGTTGTTTGTGTTTGTGTATACTTTATCTGTGTGGTGGGAAAGCCATATAATGGTAGCTTACCGTGGGGCATCTTTGCCAGTTTTCATGATATAAATACTCCTTACCATGTCCATGTCCATGTCCATGGTAAGGAGTATTTATATCATGAAAACTGGCAAATACTACAAAATAGGGCCCCCATCATCTCCTACAAAGAGCCAGTTGTTAAAACATTTACCAGAGATGCCAGCATATGAGTATGCATGGGGAACCTCATTAAGATAAAACAAAGACAATAAGAGACAAGTTAAACTTCATAGATGGGGGTGGCGGGTGGTGTAAAGAAAAAAAAAAAAAAAAAAAGACTCCACAGATGGGGGAAAAAAAATCTGATGCTAGAAACAGTTTTCCCCTTGACTAATATTTCCCAAAACACAAGCTTTTGCAATACTCAGGTCCTTTGGGATTGCTACTATTCAAATAAACCTGTTTTATTTAGCTCCATGAATAAGGCCCTTCTAGCCAGAGAAGATATATTTTATATGCACACATAAAAATACTCTGTGTTTATGTAACACTTTCCTTTTAAGGACTCACGGCAATTCCACATGCTCTCTTTATTCTTATGAACACCCTGGGGAGGTAACTAGGTGGTAGAGGAAATAGGAAGGAAAGAACAAAAAAATAGTTGAATTAGAAATCATGGCATTGCCTTGCCTCAGTACCGTAAACAAGCTTTTCCTCCCAGCGTAGGAAAGCCTAACTTCAGGACTATAAAGTGTCTTGCTCAAGAAGATTCTAGAATTGGACTCCCATCACTGGCATTTTTCCATTGTCATGGCCTAGAAGCAGGGAAAACCTCCCATTATCTCCCTTCTCTTTGCATTCCCTTGCTTTTTTGGCTTTAGCCCCTAACTTGGGCCAGAGCTGGAGTTTGCAGTCCAAGCCCATCTGACTCCACAGTCTCTGCGAGGTCACCAAAGGGCCAGCGGCAGGAAAGGAGACGGGCCTGCCAAGGAGCAGCAGGGACCTATGTTAGGGCTTGTTCCCATGTGACTCCAGTGGTCCCTGATGATCATTCCTGGGCTCCTCGCCAGTGACACCACTGTCCCCTCTGCACCTGCTGCACCGTCCCACTGGGGATCCAAATGGCCTCTCTGAATGTGCTTGGCAATTCCTCCTGAGGCTCTGGACAATTTCAAATCGGTCCTTTGGAATACAAGTCAGCTTAACTTTAATGCTTGGTATCCTCCCCATTTACCCAGGATTTGTCCGTGCTGCAGAGCTGACACAGCTGCTGATAACGAAAGTTGGGGGAAAGAATTAACTGGGGTGTGTGTACGTGTGTGTATTTGTGTGTACATGTGCACGCATTTGCATATATGTGTGTCAAAAACAGTCAAACAGAAAGGCAAAGGGGCAGAAACAAAGAAACAGAGGCAGAAAAACAGAGAAGCCAAGAGTTACGGAGGCTGTGGGAATTCCTGAACCAAGACAATCTCTTACTCACAGTAGTTTTGTTTCTAAGAAGTTCATTGTTCATTTTTAACTGCTAGAACAGTAGACTTTCAAGTGAAAAATACCCTGGGCTCCACCTAAGCCAGCCCCTCACGTTGTGTGGTTGTGTGCTCCCCTTGACAACCTCTCTGAAGACAACCCTCAGGGGGAGACTATCACAAACAGCAGTGCCTTCAGGAGCACTTGTCTCTGGCCAAATATTGATGTAGGATTTTTCTTCTTGGTCACTTTACAAGCCCTGGGCCTCACTCAGCCATGCTGGTGTTCCCCAGCACACCTGGGTTATACCTTGTACCCGCATTCGGTGATTCCCAAGCTCTTGTACCACACCCAGGAAGAATGAAGACACATTGGACATTAAAGGGTGAGGAGGGCAGAGAATAATTTTATTGAATGATGAAAACGGCTTTCAGCAGAGAGAGGACACGGGGTTGGTCCCCCTACCCAAAGGCAGGAACATTCCTCATGTGGCTGGGCTGGGGCCTTTTATGATCATGGGGTTTTATGGACTCAGAATGGGGAGTGTGTGCTGATTGGTTTGTGAGTATGCAAAAAAGGTTAAAGCAAAGACATCACTCAAAGGTGGGCACAACGGTATAGAAAACCAATTAGGAAAGAGTAGGTATATGTAAAATAGGTGAAGGGTGAGGACCAATCAGAGGAAAGCATGCCAAATATAAATTCTCAATCTGGACCAAGGATTTCACTTGCAGCTTGGCTTTCAGGCTTTAAACTCTTCAGCTTGGAGGTAGGCTTCACCAGGGACCACCCCTATCTGCCTAGGCATTTGGCTGCCCCCGTTGCTATCAATATCACTGCATACTCAGATTGCCAGACCCAGCCAAGCCTGAAGAAGACTCACCCCCACTCGCACCTCCAATCTCAACGAGGCTTCTTAATTGCCACAAAAATGGTCTCAGCTGTCCTGCTGCTTTCCTCAGCAAGTGGGGGAGTTCTGAGGTGCTTCCTAAAGGCCCTCAGACTGAGCTTGAGTGCCTTTGAAGCAGTCAGGGATCCACACTGGACAACTAAAACAAACAAGTCAATTAAGTGGAAAGTCACTCCCTTGGGAGGCAGGAGACAGGCTGTAATCTCCATAATCCCATCTAACTTCAGTGGGTCTGTGCTCCTCTCTGAGATGCCAGGTTGTGAGTAGTCACAGTCTTTCACTCCACAATCAATGACTGAGCCCCTCCTGAATGGCAAGGACTGCCCTGGGCACTGAGGACTCAATGGCTATAAAAACAAAAAGCAAAACGACCAACATGGACCCAGGCATAGTGGGCTTATAGGAGATGCTCTCTGATGTCCCTTCTCATCTAATATTCTCTAAATAATTCCTAAGTGGCAGGAGGGCTTCCCTACATCTCCCCAGCTAATGAATTCAGCCCCTACTGAGTAAGAGATCGGTTTGTTTTCTTTACATTTGAGTTCTCAAACTTAACTACTTTGCACTTGCAGTGTGGGTGTCTGAAATGTTAATTGAGCCTCACCACAGCCCCTGGAGAGAGGTAAGTGTTGCAACATCTGCCACAATTTAAAACACTTACTCAGGTGCCTGTCTGCTCAGGGTACCCTATGCACTAAGTCAAAGAGGCACAGGCCAGCTGTCCAGAAGCTGCCAGAAACCCTGGAACTCGCCCACACAAAGGACAAACAAGCAGCTGAGCAAATTCTGATAGAATGGTACTGTCAAGCAAATAAAGAGAATGCAAATGAGGAACTGGTGAAGAGGCCACCCTTTGAGAAGATGGAGGTGAGAGGGGAAGGAGAGGAGTTAGCACATGCCAGGCAACGGAGTGGGGCTAATCACTCACTCTGCTCTCTCCATCAGTCCGGGGTTGCCAGGGCTTTGAATGGCAGAGAAAAGAGAGTGGAGAGAACTGGGGTGGGGGGACACAGGGCCCTGGCCCTCAGTGACTGCTCCCCAAAGGTATTAATTAGATATCTCTGCAAAACAGCAAAACCAGAGTAAAACCTCCCCCTAGGACTTCACTCACACAATGACCAAGCTCTTTCACCAAGCCCTCCTGGGTCCCTCCCTCCCCACTTTTACATCTTACATAAGGAGGCTTCTATTGTGCTAATATCCAAGGAAAAAAGTGACTAAGGGTGAGTGTGCGACTAAGGAAAATAAAGAAGGAAGAGAGCCTCCAAGGCTTGCCCCCACCCCCAAGTTTCTTGGCTCACTCCACGATTCCGTCAGTTCGCAGGCTCTGACATAAAAGGCAGGAAGCTACACACGCTAAACAAAGCTCCTTAGATGTCAGGAAATTAACCTGGGAAATCCGAGCCAAGAGAGATTAAAGGCATTGCAGGCCGAGTTCAAAAACCACTATGGCGTTACATCAAAAGCTGTTTTCTGGGCACCCCAGGCTCAGCTCTGCCAAACTGCACATCCCGAAAAACCTGGCCACAGGGCTGGCACGCCTGTGTGGTGTGCATTTTCCCTGCCACAAGACTGAATCCTCACTCAGATCTACAGCTTTTGACTCTTCCTGTCGTAAGAGTCTAAGGCCTGCCTGCCGTAGGCAAGTCTGCCCTGAGAAGAGTGGCTTGCCGCCCTGGCTTCCTTATAAGGGAAGAAGATCGCACACCTAACCTCAGAGGGGGTCCAACGAGTGGCCCCAGGGAGAGGAAGAAAGTCCTTAAAAGGAGAGAGAGCCCTGCTAGCTTCAGCTGCACTCACACTGAAAAAAAAAAAAAAAAAGGAAGGAAGGAAGGAAGAAGCACTCACACTGAAAAAAAAAGAAGAAAAAGAAAGAAGGAAGGAAGGGAGGGAGGGAGGGAGGAAGGAAGGAAGGAAGGAAGGAAGGAAGGAAGGAAGGAAGAAAGAAAGAAGAAAGGAAAGAACAAAAGAAAGAAAGAAAGAAAGAAGAGAAAGAAGAAGGAAGGAAGAAAAAGAAAGAAAGAAAGAAAGAAGAAAGAAAGAAAGAAAGAAAGAAAGAAAGAAAAGAAGAAGAAAGAAGAAAGAAAGAAGAAAGAAGAAAGAAGAGAAAGGAAAGAAAGAAAGAAAGAAAGAAGGAAAGAAAAGGAAAAAAAGAAAGGAGGTGAGGCAGCCTGGGATCCCTGACCCTCCCAGCTAAGAAAACAAACCGCCTGGTGGAAGGTGAAAGGGTCAGAACAGAACAAACCAGAGAATTGTGAGAATCATTATTTATGTCCGCAGCAATAATACTGTCTCTTTAAGCCTCAGTTTCATTATCTTTACAACGAAGGAGGTTCTAGCTAAGATATCCTGGAATTCTTGAACAATCTAACATTTAAATGGAATGAAATTGTCAGGGGGCTTGGTACAACACCATCTCATTGTATCTCCAGCAGTGAGTGCTAACCCCATCTCATAGAGGAGAAAACTGAGGCCCCATGTCACATATCTGGTAGAGAGAAGAGCTAGTGATTCCAGGCCCAGTGCTCTAGGAGGGCAATGGTGGAA